ATATTCTGTGCCATTTGTTCCACCTTCTTGACCACGTAGATTTCATAGTGAAAGCAACTTTTTTTTTTGCAAAACTTTTTTTTTATTCGCACGCGCGCATCAGTTTTGGGGTTCCCAGAGGATGTCATCCATATAATCAAATCAACATGGCCTTAGTAAGGATCGTATGTATTCCGCGTAATGGATCGTATGTATTCCGTAAACTTCGTATGTTTCCTAGTAAGGATCGTATGAATTCTGTAAAATTCTGATACATTCTTTGGCACCCTGGTCTTAACTTTTTACTGTACTTTGCTTTATATCTTATCGTAATCTCCAAGCAAATCCTAGGGTGGCATAATGTGTTAAACATTGTGTGGATGGCGTTCAGCACCAAGGACAGGCACCGTTTGCACAGAAACATGTGGTGCACAGAAATTGAATTAGCAGATTCCGACTGCTACACGTTCGTTACTAGTACTTGTTGTAATTTTGACACAGACTAGTGTCACACTAGTCCGAAATTTTGGACAGAGAACCGTTATTTTTGAGGGGATTGATTCTTGGTGGTAAAGTAGTTGTGGTCATCAGGGTAGAAATTAGAGTCAGCTGTTGTGCGCCCCTATGTAAAAATCACACGTGGTACGGTCCAGTCAGTCTGCGTCTGTCGGTGACACACGGGGTAGAGAAGGGAGTATTTGTCAAGTTTTTGGTAAATTTTCGGCTTCTAGTTCGAAAAATATTCATTCTAACGTGTAGAAGAAATCCTCCGGGATGTTTCCAAGGCGGAGTTGTGCCGTTTTCTGGATTTTTGGCGAAGAAAATACGGATATCCTGACCTGTGGATTTTGGGAGGAGACAAGAAAATGGCGCCAAGTACGGGCGCTGGGTTCCGCTCGTCTCTGTCCTCTTCTACCGCTCTCCTCAACACGGCACACCGTCCGTTAGCAGCGATTCAACCGCACCTTTTCCTTGACGAACGCCACGACTTTCTCGGCGACCTCCGAGCTCCACTTGGGCCGGTACTGCTGGTATAACTCAGCATGGTCCGCGTCACTGAACAGATGGGCAGACATGGTAGAAAAAAGGACATACTCTACGTTGGTATAAAAGATCCTTCGGTGCAATATTTGACGAAATTACCTGTTGTGGTGTATATTTTGGAAGTAATCCTGTGAGAAACCTGACTATATTAAAGCTGAATGACGTGACCTAAGTGGTCCTAAGTGTGTGTGCTAAGTCCAAAGGTTTGTGAAAAGTTGTACTCCCGGGTTGATGTTAAGGCCACACCGATTTAATTTTATGGATGACATCCTCTGAAGACCCCAAACTAGTGCGCGCGGGCGAATAAAAAAAATTCCGGCCAAAACTAAAAATGCTACTAAACCACAGGAATACAAAGCTGGTATTGTGAATTTGCGGCAGTACTTGGCAACGTATACGACATGCTGGCTTTTTGCGGCATTTATGAATCGGTACTGTACTTATGTACTTTCTTGAGTCGCGAAGCTTCGAATTCGATAGCCTGGGTGCTCGGCTCCGTCTTGTCGCTAACTACCATGGACTACCCAGGCCTAGAGCCAGGCCAGAGCCTCGGTGGACGTAATCTTTTTTTTTTTTTGTAGGGTCGACAGGCGAAAATCAATGCGCGCGCGGCTGTCATCCATAAAATTAAATCAGTGTGGCCTAACTGTTACATGACGAAATCACCCAGCGTCTCTAGTGACAGATCAGCTGATCGCGTTACGTTACCCCACAGATGAATGTCTGGGACAGTGTGTGATTTTTATGACGTTGTCTGTGATGCTGCTAGTTACAACGATAGGAGGACTTCCCTACCACAAACATTATATCATTTATATCCTTTCTGATTACTGGTATTAAAAGTCTGAACCTGAACTTCAACTATGGCGTTTAAGGCATCCCGGGTTATAAGTAAGTTCATGGTAGGAAAATGAATGTATTCTTTACGTGAAAAAGAATTCAAATAAATAAATTTATTGTTTTCCAACATTGTGTATATCTTTTGTAAATACTTTATATGTCTTTTGTATATTGTTATTAGATTTATTTTGTTTTCTAACATTTCGTATATCTTTCATTAATATTTTTATTAGTGTCTTTTGTATGTAATAATAATAATTATGTTAGATGTATTGTTTTCCAACATTGTTTATATCTTTTGTAAATTATTTTTTATGTGTCTTTTGTATATTATGTTATATTAGATATATTTATATGTTTTGTACATTTGTCAAAGAATGAGAAATATAAAGTTAAGTTTATCACACCGACTGGTTTGTTCGATGGTTGGTTTGTTTTTTGGTTTGTTTCGTGTCTTGTATATTATGGTATATTAGATTATTGTTTTCCAACATTGGTTATATCTTTTGTTAATAATTTTATGTGTTTTTTGCATATATGTTGTATTAGACTAAACTCTCCGTTCTTAGTTGCGTGATCCATCTTTCTTCTTTCTATTCTTCGTATGAAGTAACATAATGTCTTCTAGTACTCTACGCATATAGTGAACGAGAACAAGTTTCTATTGTAGGAGTACATGCTGACGTTATCGTCGTCCTAAGTTAGTCTACCATCTCATGAAAAGGGCTATAATATGAGATACAACGTTCAATATTAAACTAGAAAATGTTTGAGTCAGTCAACATTTCTCGTCCTATGTTAGTCTATCATCTCATGAAGAGGGTTATGATAAGAGATACAACGTTTTATATTATACTAGAATATTTTTGAGTCAGTTGTAACGGGCCTGACCCGTCAGTGATTTATGACTCTGTGACGTAGTGACTTATGACGTAGTGCTTAGTAGTCAGATTTACATACTTAGATCCTTAGTTCATTTACATCCTCATTAGATTGGCCAATGACTGGTGAGAGCAGTCAGCGTCAGGAATTAGATATTAGTTAGCCGCTCCCGTTTGAATTTAGTCGAGACCAGGACCCCAAGTTAGTAACACACACTCTGTATTAGCTCCTAATATATAGTCCATATCCTTTGTAGATTCCACTTCTGTAACTTAGATCCGAAACTAGACCATTGACTTTGTATATACAGCAGATCACAATATAGCAACCCGTACAATCCAAATCGATCCGGCTCTGTGTTTTACTTAATTAACTAGCAGATTAGATAGACGTGTAACTTGGCGTAAGTAAAGTTAGACCAAGACCTAAACCGTTACACGGATTCCCCCAAACTCTACACTGACCTCCCTTAAATTCTACACAGTCAACAATTCTATCTATGACTTGTAAAACAGAGAAGTAAGGGAAATAACGTCTAACTTGGTATATCATGCCAATGGAGTAAACTTGAACAATATAACATTACCAGTGCATGGTTTACCACATAAACAGAGTTATATTGCAGAGATCATGGTATTGGTCTAATTTTGCAGTTATCATTGTCCTGGACATAAGAAAATAACGGCATACGGTACAAAGTGTGTGGAATAACAGTCCGTTAAATCATAAAACGAAAGAGTCATTTATGTCATCATGTATGATCAGATACAGTTCACCACGTGTCGTGGTTTTGTTGTACAGTTACGGGCAGGCCAAGCGTGATCTGTCCGACGCCGAACGAAGGTACGCGCTTCACCGGGAGCCGTCCTCTTCGGAAATGTCGGCACAAGCAACACGGGTGCGTGTTCTGGCAAAGAGTGCCGCTCCAGGGATGTCGAATTCGGAAGATTCGAGGACGAATCTTGAAAAGACAAGAATTCCGAGATTTCATACCTCCATGAAATATGGGCTTGATATGTAAATGTACATTTCTTCTTTGATTATGCAAATTACCTCTGCATTAACATGATATATGCATTGTGATATTTGTTAACGTTTGATTAACTTACAGATATCCCAAGTATGACATTCCCATCATTCACCATTAAGAAATCATATATTTTTGCAAATTATGCAAATTAGGTCATAATTTGCATAATTAGTATCTGTTGATGTTCTGCCTGCCATAGGTTACATACATTACATGTATGAAAGTAGTATAATGTAAAACACTGTAATTATAGAATTTCCTCATTAAGTATGCAAATAAAGTCCTCATTTGCATAACTTGCATTTAATCATGTTCTGCTGCAGTACCAAGGTCATCCACCAGGAGGCCCATATTTGACCTTGACGTTTGTCTTCCTAAGACTTACCAACATACCATTAATATCATCATAATCCATAAAGGCGTTCTGAAGTTACGCTGACCACAAAGTTGCGGAAACACACACACACAGACAGACACACAGACATACAGACAGACACGCCAAAAACAATACCTCCATTTTTCATGGAGGTAAAAACACCAAGGCATGTATTTCAACCAACCACCAATTTTATTTAAACTTCCCGGTCTTCATGAATCAAGTTTGAACTGTAATTTCCAAGACAAGAAACTGGACCAAATATTAGACGGTTTAACTACATTCTTGGTTATTATCTGATCTCCTTACACTAACGTTTAAACCAATACAAAACTAGCTACAAAAAATGAAGGGTTGAATTCAAGCTACACCTTTCGCAGAAGAGTAGGGACATGCCCCGGTGTGCGATGGTCCAAAAGCTACTATCTGTGAGTTGGTGATTCACTACAAATCACCCGGATGGAGGCCTAGCGAACACAAAGTAATTTACATCATCATCCTTCAGGACTCCAGGAAGAATAGTGTAAACTTTATTTAACACCACAACAATGGAGATCTTATAAAAAAAACTAAGCTTATTCTTAGAATTATTGTATACTCAGTCCTCAAGTTATCTACCGAATTTTGTTTGTGGGTTGTCATAGTAGCGTCTGTTCTTTGACAGAATGTTCCTGTATAATGATTGTGTATATGAAAGTAAGTCATAGTTTTGTGGAATTATGACTAAACCAAATTGGTACTTTTTCACTTTAGGGTTGAATTACTGGATAGCTAAGTCATTTGAAGGTAAAGTCAGTGGAGTGTCTTAACCAGTTGGAAGCTTAATTACTTAAGAGAGTGTTAAGTTACATGAAGTTACTTGAAGAGTAGACACTTGAGGTTTAAGCACCACAATATTGTGGGCGTCACTATTTATACTTGACGCCTTTCTTGGATGACTATTTTTCCATCTCGATTGCATCCTCCAAGGCTTCTTTCACCAACGCTATTTTCTCCAAGACTTCTTCCTTCAAGGCTTCTTCCTCTAAGGCCTCTTCCCCCAAGCCTTCTTCCTCCAAGGCTTTTTTCTCCAAGGCTTCTTCCTCCAAGTCCTCGTCCTCCAAGGCTTCCATCTCGACTGCTTTCTCCAGGTCTTCCCTCAGGCTTTCCAGCTTGTCCTCCAGGCTGAGCATTCGTTTGCCCTGGGCACCTGTAGGACAAGAGGGGCATATATGTATATAAATATAATGTTTATTTTTATCTTATTCTATGACGATTTACCACATTTGTGAAAGGATTGATATAACAGATGACTATCACCTCTTCAAGCATGTCAACCCCCAAAACCAGACTGTAAGGTTTGAACCACTCACACCTGGAAGGCGCCTATCTAGTTCTATGCCTGAATTGGACCAAGGCTAAGCGTTAGGCCTACAGGATCAGGCACGGTTCTGGATACTAGTAGTCTGCATGTATCCAAGAACGTAAGTTTGCCCCTAGGCACGGTTCAGGCACGGTAGACTCGGGCTACATGGGATAATGTTGCTACAACTTAGTATGTTTATCTATGACTGAAATATTGGCCTCAAATCGAAAACTTCATCGGACACCTCTGAGGTGCAATGCAGTTTGATTATGATGTGTCCTAAATGACATACTTCAACAACAGAAGTGTAGTGGTTCAATGCAAACGTACCTCCATAGACCTCCACCTCACAGAGGGTAAGGATTCTACTGGAGCCTGTCAGACTGATCCCCACATATCGACCGGTCCGTCCGCCACAGCCTATCGACATCACGTTCCCACGGCTGAGGGACTGCGGTCCCCCACAGGTAGGGTTTTTCAGCACGTCGGGGTTGTCGCCCACGTGAACCGTGAAGCCGTCCAGCCTTTCCGAGCAACAGTCTAGCCGGTTAACGACGACCAACGAGTCCACGCACTGACTGCTGCCCAGGTCGACTCGCCACCATGGGTTGGTTTGGCTTGCCGTGTGGGTACAGGACCCGGCTTTCCATGAAGAACGACGGCTCCCATCCACAGCGCGGCCGGCGACTCCACCCCCTGCAGTACTAGACTGGGTCGCAGGGCGGTTCTTGGCAAGGTTGGTGGAGCGAATACCAGCTATGAAGATGAAGAAGAAGAAGAACACAAGAAGTTACGGCCAATACCGTACTTATTTCTAAGACTAATTTTGGAACAATTAAAATACTTTTCTTTACAATAAAATTAAAAAAAATGTAATAATGATAAAAATAAAATACTTTCCCCATTGCTGGATGACTTGATTTCTTGAGAATTATATACCAAAAGGATAGACATAATATTTAACTACCATTATACCTAAACGCTATAAAAAGTTTAGTT